GCTGGCAACTATAGCATTCCTTGTCGCCACGACGACATCGCATCGTTCAGCGGTACGGTGCACCGCAGGGTGACACCCTGGTCGATGTGATCTCGGGTCTTCGCTTCACATCATGCCCTCAGGGGAAGGAGAATAAGGAACGGCACGCGACAGCCACCTCTTTCTCTGGGGGTTTTGAGTTTGACGATGGCCTCAACGGCGCCGGGGAGACGAGTTCCAACCGGGTTTTGGGCGAGCGCCACGAGCGGAAAGAAGCTCTGCTCGGACAGTCGCCCTCGACGGATAATTAACTAGCGTCGAGGTGATGGCAGCCGTAGGAGATCCAGGGGGGTGCTGGCTGTCATGCTCAACTTGGCAGGGCCCTCAAGCAGTCAAGCTTGAGCTCGAGCGTCTGGTCAGTGTCCGGGCGTGGAAATCAACCCACACCAGGGTGGTTGCCGTCTCTCTAGCCGATCCAACTTGACTAGTGGGCGACCGCGTTCGTGGATTCTTTTGCGGCGCGAGATGAGAAATTTCGCATTCTCTCCCCAGTACCGGCCCGTCGTCTCAGCCTTACCAACCCTAGCCACCGACCACAGTTTGGTTTGCACGGGCTGGGGCTTGACGAATAGTGTAGCTGCAAGTCAGCTCGGCTGGCCGAGGCTTGCTTGCTTCTTGCTGCGGCGGCCCCCTGGAGGCAGCACACGACCAATCGCGTCTTGCAAGCTGGCGTGATGCATCATACGATGTCGTCGCCGGCTGTTGTTCCCCTTGACGGTGTGCCGTCCAGTCATCGAGATGCCGAACGGGTCGCGACCGATCTCTGCTGCGCACGACTGGGGTTTATTGAGATGCGGGCAAACATGACACGGGCGATGAGGAAATACGGCAGATGATGGGCGTGCGTGTGATGAGATGGACTCTGTCAGTGTGAGTATCCCCCACATATTGGGCCAAGCAAGGCTGCGTGTGTCTCTGTTCACACAATCGGCACTGGAGAGTCCCAATTCCCCGTATGGTCATCGCATCTCATCTCATCGTATCGTATCTCATCTCGCCAGTATCGTGGCGGGGGTGCCACCCCGGCGGCTGGCGCCCCGCTAGAACGGCGGCCCCTGATTCAAAGCCTTTACTGTCATTCATCTCGGTCTCGGTCTTTTTGTCCTTTACAGTTTGGCTTCTCCGGCGTCGAGGAGACGGGACATTCTACGGCATTTGTGTTGACAAGGGTGGGAGAAGCTATGACGGCACACTACCTGGTGCCTCGATATACGGATGCTACGTGGCTCTGGTGTGTGAGAGGGCACACGCAGGTCATCGTGGAAACATTGGTCTCGTGGAGAAGAAAAAAAGAGAGAGACGGTCCGGGATATGCAGATGCATGCATAAGACTGTCACGCACATCATTCCAACGAGCATTGACTGCTGCTTTGGTTGGCTAGTTATGCAATGCCATCGAGAAAAAGTGACGACCACGAGTCAAGTTCGATATGAGAGCCCCACGAGTGGAGGTTACCGACGAAAGCTTCCAGAAGGCCACGAGGTGAGGCGAGGGAGGCGGTCAATTTGGATGAGACAGAAGAGATGCAAGGCCTGGCAGAGTTTGACTGGCCTCGTGCTTGCTTTCTTTTTACGTCCCCTGCCTTGTTTCTCCTGTTGGTGACCGGAGCACGACGCATTCCGAAACCGAAGAGATTGTTGCGAAGACGAAAGACTCGGTATATCCAACAATGCCGTGTGTGTGTGGTTCCGCTGTCAAAGATTTTTTTTGTTTCTGGTTTCGTTTCAAGTCGGCTCATACGCATCCTCTTTGAGAGGTTCCTTTCTTTTTCCACGTACGTTTCGACCTGGAATCGTTCCACGGGTACTGCGTTAGCGGGTGGAGTTGACCGCGATGTCAAGAGGTTGCTTTTTCTCCGCCATGTGAAATTCTTTGGGTGAGCGGCCCCTTTGGTTTCTTTTCTTTTTCCTCCGCTTTTCCCTGCGGATGTTTGCTTTTTGGTCCTCGTCTTGCAGTTCATCATGATATGATGTTCGGCTACGGGGTGGTAAACAGCCCGGGAAAGCCATGACCCTTGACTTGATTATTCCCTACCCAAGTCCGTCCACCTCTCGGCTCCGCGCCCCCGGCGTCATCAGTGGAGAATAAGGAACGGGGCCGTCTCCTGGAGGGCGTCGATTAATTTTGACTTGATCGCTCAAGGAGGGATGAGAGGCAGGGCAAGGCAGGGAAGGATCCTTTGTTTCGTCGAATACGGAGGAACGCATCGCATCGAGGGCCTCTGCTCTGCATGCCAGGCAAGGGTCGTGTATCGGGGGGGGGGGGCGCATTCGGGCTTTTCGGGGTGGAGAGCCAAAGCAAACAATGAGAGTATGGAAAAAGTAAACTATCGAAATGTGCCAGGTTGTAGACATGGAAATGGCATCATGTCGATGGATGGACGGACCTAGAGAAGAGGGCGTGCGTGTTTGCATCCATCCCAGGAGCTTGGGTCAGGCTCCAAATCTGCAAGGACAGGACTGGACACCGACTCTTGGAGTTTGCTCCTGTTGTCGATGCAAAGTGTTCAACTCGTTACGAGTCACCTCCAGTCCATCAAGACGCTATCGACAAGCCGGCCTCTGATTCGGGGATCGGCCATGGGGTCAGATCAGGTCAGATCAGGAGGACCCTTTTTCTTGTTTGTGTCGATCACCCGGGTCTGGACCTCTGCCCTTTGGTTGGCTCAGCTTAGACCTCAGCCGCTCTCCAAGGAGGCCACATCCTCGTCGCCCATGCTCACCAAGGACTAGGTGCAATTCCGATGCTCACCGCCAGCTATGGGTGTGCGTCTCTCTTCACCAAGAGACGATGAGACAGTGGCTAGGTTGACGATCCAGGGTCTTCTGGTTCGGGTTGAGAGCTGACGGTTCCTGCTTAAGCGGGAGAGATTAAGGCAAGCCACCAAGATAAAAGTGCATTCTCCAGAAGCCATTTTGGGCCCGACGACAAGAGATTGAGGTTAGAGCCGAGACGGACGCTTCTCAAAGGGGAGCAAGGCTTTACTGCTTCGGTCATGGGACCGAGACAAGCGTCGACCCAAGATGCACTCTATCTACGGAACGTAAACGACCGACGACGGCGCGGAAGGGCTGAAATCTCACGAGAGACTGCAGATTGGCTGCATCGATGTGGAAATCGGAAATCTGCAGCGCATCGAACAGCTCTTGGCCGGCTGTCTGTCGACTAGCTACTGCGGATGACACGGCTGAAGAGAGGCCAACGTCTGAGACATTTATCGACGGATCGGTTTACAGGTCTTCAGCTGTGATTCAGCCGCCGTCGAAATGGTTCACCACCCCCCGTGTCAACCTGACACTGACTACTGCGCAGTAGTAGGATGGGGGGAGCTAGCTACTGTAGGTAGCTTTGACTGACAATCCGCCCGCCTGCCTGCGCTCGCCGCCTCTTGGAATCGGTATGAACAGGGCAGAGAGAGAGGCTGATGTTTGTCTCTGATACTGCTGGATCTTCTGCTGTCTCAGCCTGCGCCTTGCCTTGCGCATGATGGGTCTCGATGTCAGAAAGAAGGACAACAGCGAAAACAACAAGACTCCAGCGCATGAGAGGCTGGGGGCGTGTGCACGTCCACGCCCAGCATCAGATCATGACTTTCTCCCACTCACCCACTAAACAAGGGCGTGCGCGATCGGGATGATGGGGGAAAAGCAGGGAAGAGCTGAGAAATGTGGTTATGCAAGATCTAGACGGGGATCCACGGCGAATGAGGCAATCAATGGCCTCGATTCTGGCGCATGTTGGTTGTGATATGCAACTATTGAGTGGGTTTGATTGTTGGTGTTGGTCGGCTCATGCAGTGAGAATGAGTGAAGATCGGGATCCGTCTCTATCTTTGCTTCTCCTTGACGACACGACATGATATGACATGACGATGTTGATGTTGGTTGATATTCGGTCAAGAGGGCTGGGCCAAGACATAGTCACGGGTCCAGTCTGTTTGTCGTTGGCGCATGGCTGTTGGTTGGTCGGTGGTTGGCTGATGCCATCGCCAACTGCCAACTTTTGGGTGCAGGGTAGTTGGGACAAAACTACAAGTTCGTCTGTTGGTCGGCCTCTTGTTGCTGTTTCGTCGTTTTGCATCGCGTACCGGGGGCCTTCTCTTCAAGGTTTATCTAATTCTCGGTACCAAAGGAATCAGAAACCCTGGCGAGTGATGAGAACGGCACGGTTTGATATGCACCCCAGGTATGTATTGTTGCTCTGTTGGCAGACTCACTACTACATGCCATACAAGGAAACCACCCTTGGCCCAGCCCGGTTGGAATTGTACACACACGGGGGAAAGACGGCCGCAAGGAAGGTATTGTGCTGGAAGAGATGGCCATTGACCATATCCCCCCTCTGCTCACCAACAGCGGGCTGGCCAACAAGAGCGTCTTGCCAACAAATGTGTAAGTGGCCAAGGGACTGCAACTCCCTGCTCATATTGACCACCATAGTTGGACCGAGGTGCGTTGTGAATACAACTTGCACCAAGCCAACGTAGTATCCCGAAAAGAACAAACACATGCCGACGAGTGCATGTGAAGGTACTGGTAGGACAATGGATCAGGTCATGCAGCCACATCTGCCCTCCAAGACTCTGAGAACGGCCCGATGAGATGACCTTTTCTACGAGAAAGTAAATTTCTCTAAATCGACGACAATAGAAAGTCAAGTTCATGACTAATGCAGTAGTATAACATAACAAACCCAACGCCCAACAGACAACTTGGATATGAGGTGTCACATTTGAGCTGAACTATCATGACACTGAGACATATGACCAATAAGTAGAGTAACAAGAAGACCTAGAATTGCTGAGAGAATAATTGGCCTAGGCTAGAAAGACACAATTGTAAGTCAAGTTACTTGACATCAATATTGAGACTTGAAATACAACTCTTGTAGGGGGTAGTTGATCAACTTGATATGACAACACCTGCACTAACTCAACATCACAAACAACCACAAGAGTATTCAAGTCAAGATCGTGTCATTTCATTCATTATACTATAAAAGTCCGACTATCGCTGCGACTCCTCCCTCTTCTCAACACCCTCCCGTCCAATAGAGCTCATATCCATACCCTCACCCTGCGTAGCCGGCTCCCGCAGACCACCCCGTGCAGCGGCATCTGTACCAACCCTAGCATTCTCACCACCAGCACCGACGTTGACGGTCCGGGCATCGGCGGATTGCCAGTCCGAGGCTGTGGGGGGTTGATCGGGGAGGGGGAGGTTGGACTGCGTGTTGGCGATCTTTTGGTCTTTGGATTGAGACATGATGACTTCTGGAGAACCTATTAGAACTTGTTTTTCTTCTTCTTTTTGGTAGAGGGAAAGGTCAAACTTGCTGTGGTTGTGGAGAGTTGGTTGAGTTGAAAGGTATGTAAATGTAGTTGTGGTTGTAGCTTGAAGTTGAAGTTGAAGTTGAAGTTGAAGTTGAAGTTGAAGTTATCTGACAACTCAACCACGTTCAACAGCCCTTTTAATATTCAACCCCCAGCAACCTCTAGTCATTCAGAAGCTCCCCTGACAAAACTGCAATCGCGATCTTTAACATCATCGCTGACGTCAGTGACGTCACCAGAGCCTCAACTCGCACCTAAAGCTCCGGCCCTTCTCCACCGTTACAACATCATTACCTCCTCACAAGAGATGGAAGATTCTGACGGCTTCTGATCTACGCAAGTCGAGGATCGACACATTGACAAGAGTCAAATCGAACACGGCCAAGAAAACCAGGTTGGAGACAAGGTACTATGATGAATATACCCACCACAGTCCAGGGGGAGAGCAGTGCAAGTAGCTACAGCAAGGTTTCATTTCCTCTATCATGTCTCAAAAGCCAATGCCAATGCCAATCCATCGCCCAAAACGCCCCGTGCTCGCAACGAAAATGTCTGACAATATCAACATCCAACCCGCTCTGACGTTTGTTGCGCGGCTCTACCTATCCCCACTTCCTCAACCCATGCCTTTCAGACTTTTCAACACCCCTAGCCTACTCGTCGATCCGTCTCGGCCGACGTAGCTTTCTCTCCTGCATCTGGGTTGAGGTAGTCGGCGTCTTCGGCGGCCTCGTACTCTCCAATAAGGTCTGCAACTACTTGTCGTGCCTCGTCGAACTCGTTGAGGTTCTCGGCAAAGGGGGCTGTCTTCTTGTATCCTTCCATGAAGGCATTGCGCTTCCGCATACCATCATACTGTCTCAGAATCCTCTTGAAGAGCTAATTGTGTTGTTAGAACGGTGTAACACCACGTAACAGGACTCAAACTTACAGTTGCAATACTCGTGTGATTAGCCAGCATCAGACCGCTCACACGATGGCTCATGGGAATATAAGGACTCCTCTTTGTCAAAGCCACCTGGATACTCGCAGGACCCCAAGGGATGAATGTAGCGAGACGTCGCTCCCGGATACGTAGCAGACTCTTGTGGACATCAGTAGGGTCAACCTCGCCTTGGATCACGTTCAGGATCGAGATGTAGCAGCTCTTCTTTCCGGGAACTGTTGACACCATGCGGTTCTTGGGCTGGAGCAGACGTCGCATCACGTCCAGCACCGTCGTCTTGCGCACCGTCTTGGCTTGCTCGACCTGGTCGCCGGTGAAGGGCGTGTATGCTGTCATGAGGAAGTGACACCTGGGAGTTGGGATGAGAGAGGCGAGGATGCTGACGAGATCGTTGTGCATGTAGCCGGGGTATCGTAAAGTCGTTGTGCTGGCCGACATGACAGTGGCAACCTGTGGGACAGTCAGTACCCCTTATCTAATGGTTCATGTGGTCTGGGCTAGTCTTACAAGTTGGTTCGTCTGTTGGAAAGATGGCTCCTGAACATGCAGCCTGTCAGCGGCAATGTGGGACAGGGCACCATTGTCGAGCACGACAACCGAGTCGGCGTGCTGCGTCAATCGTCTCATGGAGAGAACACTGTTGTATGGATGGACAACGACATCGCCGGCGTTGGTCGTGTCAGGAAAGACCGAGTAGGTCTGGATGATCTTCTTGGGGAAGCGGTCGTTGAGTTTCTCAAGGAGAAACGAGCCGAGACCGGAGCCAGTACCACCGGCAATGGAGTGAAGCATCATGAAGCCCTATGATAGTCAGCAGGTGGTCTACCTACGGCAACTCGATGGGCACTCACCTCGAGGGAGTCACTGCCGTCAGCCTCTCGATCAATCATCTCCATGATGTCTTCATATACTGCCTCGCCGCTCTGGTAACCATCACCCCAGTTGTTGGCGGCACCCATGCCATCCTTCCCCACGTAAAAGTTCTCGGGGTTGTAGATGTTCTTGTAAGGCCCCGTCTGGATTCCGTTGAGGACCTGCCCAAACGTCTTAGCATATGATATCGTCCGTCGAATCTCGTTTCATCGCACGTACCCTTGGTTCCAAATCAATCAGGATGGCTCGGGGGATGTATCGCGTATCGTCGCTCTGGTAGTAAAAGACATCCTTTCGGTCGCCGCCTTCGGTCGCAAAGTCTTCGAGGTTTCCGTCTTGGCTGATGCCGTGTTCCTGACAAAGTTGCTGCCAGAACTGGCTTCCGACTATGGCGACAACAAGAGTTAGCGAGTGATCATGTTGTCAGAGTGCGCAGCGTCGTGGGCATTATCATGTGCGATGCGGTGCGGTGAACGAACGGGCTGGTGGGGGAGAGGAGGAGGAACTGACTGCTGTTGCCGCACTGCCCGGCCTGGATTGTGATGATTTCCCTGTAATAGATTATCAGCTGCTGCCTCTCGGCTTGAATTAGAGGTTGCTTTACCTGGGCATCTTGTCTTGTCAGGGAGTGATCAAGGTTGATGTTTTAAGTGGAATCTTTTCTGCGACAGCTCAGCCTTGCTTGTTTGGTACAGTAGCCGTAGCTCATGCTCTTTCTTACGCGACGCGTGCCGCACCTTCCCTACCCAAGCTCTGCTGATCCCCGCCCCCGCGTTTCACAAACAATTCACACCAACACCAAATATCACTATTGTCAATAGACATATAACATCACTATTACATTACATTTAATAGACTATTGTTACAAATGAGATTGGATTTGCACATGTACTGCATGTAGTTCCCCCTACAACTATTGATACACTCACTCACTCACTCACTGCTGTCCATCTTACAAAACAACCCTTCCTATATCAGTCTCTGCTAAGACGAGATGGCATGCCATCACTCGGTACTTGATAAACAAAACAACAGGGGTCTCTGTTACTGTGACCCCTTCCAATGCTTGCTTGGTTGCTTATGAAACGCAACTTTTGTATTTCATACAAGTCAAAGTCAATCTTTCTTTGCCTGCTGGGAAAATAACATCTCCCATCAAATGTCTCGCCTTGGCCTCCCTCCCTCCGCTCAAGATGGAAGACAAGAACCTCGAATCCCTTCGCAACGCCCGCAATGCATGCTGCTCCAAAAAAGAACCTTACCTTTCTATGCTGGCACCCGCATTGTGCTTCTAGTATACTCCTGTTTTCCTGTCCTCCGCATTACTTTTTCTTGTTCAACTCCTTGTGCTTTTCCATGGCAGCCGCCAACTCCTTAGCCAAGTCTGCCGTCTTGACCTGGATCATCCAAGTCTCAAGTCCGTCGCCCTTCTCATTCGATGTCGTGATCTTGACATACTTCTTGTCTGCCTTGTACGACATGTCTGGCAGGACAGCTCGGTTCAGCGCAATGTGTCCTCGTGGCTCCGCCCGCAGGAGCAGTCGCACCACGCTCGTCTCCTTGTGCTTCAGCAGCCGGAGAGCTCCCACGCCCTGCGTTGACCAAGGGCTCTGAGACTTGGACTTCTTCTCCTCCGACTTCTCACCGGCTGGCACAAACTTCAACACCTTGGCTCGTACATCGTGCAGCACGTCCTCATCCTTCTCCAGATTTTCCGTCAGGTTCACCTGCTCTTGCTTGTCGCCCTCGTCGCCGGCCGCCGCCGCTCCTTCAGCCTGGGTAGATGGTTCCGGGGTCCCGCCAGCTGGTGTTGTGGCCAGGCTAGAGCCTCCCCCAAGACTGAACGGTGTGTCTACACCCGTCGCTTTAGTGGGAGGATTTTCCGACGTGGAAAAGGAGACTTACTGGTCCCGGTGGTAGATCCACCAGCTGGCGGTTGGAGGTTGCCAAAGGCCGGAGCAGCTTGGTTGGAACCAAAGGTTGGCGTCGAGTTCTGTGCCGGGGAGGCTCCCGAGAAGCTGAACGCCGGCGCTCCAGTAGATCCTGAGGCGCTTCCAAAAGAAGGAGCGTTGTTGTTGCTGCTCTGGTTGGCGCCAAACGTTGGAGCTGCTGTGCTGCCACTGGCATTTCCAAACTGGAATGGGCTGGAGCCACTCGGCGCGGCTGAAGTGCTTCCAAAGCTGAACATGCCTCCAGAAGTCGAGGTCGGGGCGGAACCAGAGTTGCCTCCATTGTTACCCGAAGCGAAAGGGTTGTTGAAGGAAGATCCCGAGTTTCCAGACTGGAAAGAAAAGCCTCCGGATCCTGAATTGCTTGTTGAGCTGGCAGCGCCGAAGCTTGTGTTGGCACCGTTGGTGGTGCCCGAAGCACCGCCAAAGATGGGAGCAGCAGGAGTGGTCGAAGCATTGCCAAAGCTGAAGATGGGAGCGGCTGACGCTCCAGTGCTGCCACCATTGAAAGCCTTCTTGGCTGGTGATGGTGCGTCCTGCTTCATGGGACTACCACCAAACATGGGCGCTCCAGACGAAGCTGGCGACTGGGGTGCGCCGAAGAGAGGCTTCGCAGGCTCCGAAGTGCCATTGGGCTTGGCGCCAAAGCTGAAGATAGGGGCAGCAGCAGGCTTGTCAGCAGCAGGAGCATCAGTCTTGGCCGCCGTCGATGCATCACTACTAGCGCTAGGAGCACCGAATAGGGGCTTCGCAGCAGGTGTAGTTGATGCGTTTCCAAACAGGTTGGTGGCATTTGCTGTAGGCTTGACGCCAAATAGAGATGACGCCGGGGTGGTTGACTCGCCACCAAAGAGCGAAGTCTTAGGAGCCGTAGAGGACTTGTCACCCTCGGCAGGCTTGGCACCAAAGAGCGTGGAGGACTGCATCACAGGCCCACTGGATTCCGCGGGCTTGCTAACAGAACCAAACAAGTTAGTTGTGGAAGGAGTGCTGGGCTTGTCGTCGACCTTCGCTCCAAACAAGCTGGAAGCAGGCTTGGTAGGCTCAGCCTCCTTAGGAGTCTCAGCAGCTGGCTTGGGGGTGAAGAGAGAAGATCCAAAGCTCGGCTGAGCAGTCGGGGCCTTGACCTCGAACATGGGCTTCTTGGGAGCCTGATCATTCTCCTTGTCAGATTCACCTCCCGTCTTGTCAGCTTGTTCAGAGACTGGTGTTGACTCCTTCTCAGCAGGCTTGTCCTGCTTGGGGGCACCAAAAATGTTGGAAGTGGTAGTGGTCTTGGGAGCAAATAGGGAGCTTGTCGGCGCCGACGTAGTCTTGCCGAAGAGAGAGCCAGCCTGGCCGGTAGAGGATGGTGCAAACTTGATAGGAGTGGTTGTGGGATTCCAGGTTTGGTCAACGGGCTTGGCCGCAGGCTGCTCAGGAGCTTCAGTCTCAACCTTGTCCTCTACGCGCACAGGCTGACCGTCACTGCCCTTGGTGACTCGATCGAACAGGCTTCGTCCGGGAGTGCTCTCCCGGGTTCCAGGCGCACTGGTATCGGCCACAGCACCACTGGTAGGAGCCTGCGGGGCGAAAAGACCAGTGCCGACCTGTGAAGCTGTCTCAGTGCCACTGGCAGCAGCACTGGGCTCGTCACTCTGTGCTGTCGCCTGGCTGTCCTCCTCAGCATCCGAGTCGGCCTCGCTCTCGGCATCGGCGTCGACACCACTGTTCTTGGCCGAGCTTGCATCAGAAAGATAACCAAAAATGTTGCCACCAGCCGCGGCATTGCTTGGCTTGAGATTCTGCCCAAACACACTGCGGGCAAGCGCAGATCCGCCGCTGGTAGGCTTGTTGAAAGCGAAAGGGTTCGGCTTGGCGCTGCCGGCCTCATCGACGGGCTTAAGAGAGGGCTTCAGAGGGGAACCGACGGGTGTAGACGACTTGTTCGCAATCTTCTCGAACAATGTCTTGGCCATAGAGGCCTGGCCCTTTTGCATCTTGGAAGGCTGGCTCTCGGCCTCATCGCTCACTGAAACCCTGCGCTTGTTCTTGCCAAGAACAGACGCAGGAGTAGGTACCTCGACGGGTGTCTCAACAGGTGCCTCCTCCTGCTCGGGAGCGCGTCGTTTGTTGCTGGTCGAGATACCATTCGAGACAGTGTCCTTGGAAATATCGTCGTCGGCCTTGCGCTTCTTTGAGGCTGTGGGCTTAGTAGGAGTAGGCTCAGCATCCTCCTCCTCAGGCTCAGGGAGACCATGCTCTCGACGCCACCTCTTGAGAACATCCTTGGATGGCTTGACGTTCTGGAACTCGTACAGACCGTACCGCAGCAGAATGATACTCCGGCTCTTTTCAAACTCCTTTGCAAAGTTGATGACGTTCAACTTCCAATCCTTCTTGGAAAAGATCTCGTTCGCCGCATATTTGAGCCGTCGAAGGTCGAGGATGCAGAAGAATTGCCGTCGCTGCTCTTCATCAAAGTCTGGAGGGCAGAGGTGGGAGAGGAACTGGTCAGCGTAGATGGATCCCTTCGAGTTCCAGTCCTTGGGGATCTTCTTGGTGAGGGCCTCACCAGAGAGCTCTGGATCAGGATCCTCGATGCGCATGGTGAACAGCTCCTTGGACGTGGCCTTGGACGCCATGCCCCGCGGCGTAACCTGTGCGGTCGACTCTCGGAACGTCCGACTCGGCTCGGGAGTAGCGCCAGGGGCAAACACCTTCTTCATGGTGCTCTGAGGTAGGCTGGGGGAGAAGGGCGCCACCGGGGGTGTGTCGGCGACGGCAGAGACCCGGAAGATGTTGCGGGCGGTGGCAATCGAGCTCTTGCTCAGACTGCTAGATGGAATCTCATCGCGAGTCGTCAACAACCTCCGCGACGATTGGGGAGTGCCACTAAGGCGGCTGGTCTTGTATGGAGTCGAGACGTAGGCGCGCTTTGCGAAAGGCAGAGCAGGACGCGGACGAGGTGTGCTCCTGCCGACATCAGCGGCGTCGCCGTCGCCGGGGATTGAAAAGGTGACCATCTCGCACGACTGTAGATGGGGGAGATATTAAGCGGGGGGGTGTGTTGGCAGGGTGGTGATGAAAGAAATATCGAACTCGACGTCGCGCGTTTTGAGCTCGATGGATGGGATGGGCGTTGAGGTGGCTCGCAGACGAAAGGGGCGGGCCCAAAGGGAACGGGCGGAAAGCGAGTATTCGATCTGGAACAATGGACAAGGAGCTTAGACAAGCTGTCCTTGAAGTTTGGCGATGCGGCTTTGATGGCAGCGCAATCGCATTTGGCCCGAGGTCGCCCTAGGAAACGGCACGAGAAGGCGAGTTGCACGAGGGCGAAGGGCGGGTGGTGTTTTGGGTGTGCGAGCGACGCTGCTGGGCACTGGCTTTCTTAGGTTCTTTCAGAAAAAAAATAAAGGCGGGTCCTCTTTCACCCTCTGTGGGCGGTCCTACCGTCACCAAGGTAATAGAAACGGACCTGACTCCTCAGGCACCAAGACCCAAGGCCAAAAAGAGCAAAGCCGGTCTTGCGGAATGCGTGCAGGTCTCGTGACTTGGCGTCTCTCTGTCACCTCTCCACCCTCTCTTTGTATTCACCCTCGCGCGCTCAGTCCACCTCCGGTCATCTTGGATGCAAGTACGGATTATGATTCCTGTTTAGTTGGTGTACCTGGAATCCTCTGGATCCCTCGTACAAGCACGGATTCACTACACGGGTCATTCATGCCAATCATTTCAGACCCAACGAGCATCGCCTTGCGCAAAAACTTGCGGTCCATTGACCTTGGTACTTGCTGCATCAGCTGCATGTATCCATCCACCCACAGGCATCTGGATGCCTGTCGTTGGGGCTTGGGCACCAAAAACTTGGCACACAAAGATCATCGCCCCCAAGGCAAAGGTCACCATCAAAAACATCACACTCATCATTAACAAGGCACACCATATGACAGTAAAAGAGCAAGTTCCATTTTTTGCATCCTTATCGGTCAGTCCTAACTAATGAGCGTGGGCTCCCCTCACGGAACAAGATACGACTTGAAATCTGTAATACCTGGCGGCAACTGTTTTCCGGCCAGCCTGTGTAAGATTGTCGTAAGATTCGCCAACCTTGACGAGGAGAAGACAGAAGAAATAGTACAACAGAGCAAAAGAGGGGGAGACGACACACAAAATGATCATCGCAAGCAAACCAAAATCCAAGGCCCAATATCCCAGCTTAAAAAATCAACAACAGGACGCTCGCTCGCTTACTTGGTAGCGAGCTTCTTCTTTTGTTCTTCCAGATATTCCTCATCTGAGGCATCCAGAATGTCGTACTCCTCGTCTGTCATGAAGCCATCATCGGAATAGTCCCAGTCATCCTCAGCACTTTCAGCCTCCTTGGTTTCCGGCTCCTCAACGACGGGAGCGGGCTCAGCAGCCTCGTGCATGCTGGCCACGGGCGACTCCTTCTCGAGCTTGGGGAAGATCATCTGGCTCGAAGCCTGGCTCTCCTCCTCCTGCTGGGGCTCCTCGACTGGGGTCGGCTCCTTGACTTCAGGCTCGGGCACGGGCTCGGGCTTAGGCTCAGGCTTGACCTCCTTCTTGACCATGCGGACATTGACATCGCACCAGAGACGGTGACCGAACCTCTCGCCATCGGGGTTGGTCAGACGCCAGTACGAGATGACCTTGCCAGGGCGGGCAGGAGTGCGGAGCAGCACGGTGAAGGGGAACTCCTGGCCGGGGGCGAGAGGAGGGTAACAGACAGTAGACTCAGAGGCAGAGAGTAGCTCCGAGACACCAGCAGGGTGGTTGGAGTCGACGTGTCCCATGTAGTCACCACCGACGAACCTAACGCTGCAGCCAGCGGGCCAGGTCTCCTTGCCCTCATTGCGCATAGTCCAGGTCTGCTCGAAAACATGGTTGGGAGGGAGGATGGTGCCGTCCTGAATGCTGTCACGGACGAAGACAGCCTTCAGCTCCTCCAGGGGAGCTGGGACGGGGATGGAAGTCTCGCGCTTCTTCTCGTCCTCAGCCTTGACCACGGGCTCGGGAGCCTTGGCAACGACCTCGACAGGGGCAGGCTCAGTTGGCTTCACGTCGACAACGGTGCGGACGGGAATAGAGTTGCTTCGGGCCGCAGGCACAGGCTCAGGAGCCTTGGGGGTGGGAACGCGATCACCCATCTCACGCATTTGCTGGCCGTTCTGGTGCTCACCAGTGGTGGTAACACTGACGTGGCGGACAGGAGTCTTGAACTTAATCAAGGGGTGAGTCTTGTTGTGAGTGTTCATAGGACTAGCCTCGCAGTTGGCGCAGAAATCCAAGTCGCTGCAGATAGCGCACTTGTAGCGGGTACCGCGAATGTAGTTGGGGTAGGCCTCGCTCTCGCAGCAGAGGGGGCCATCACAGCAGATGCCAATGTGGACGGCAGGGGGTGTTCGGACCCGAACGTCAGTGAGCTGCTCATAGATTGGCACAAATCGGTGGCCGTGGTGAGTGATCTTGGAAGACTTCATGCAAGTGGAGCAGAAGTCCCAGTCGGGGCAGTCAAGGCACTTGTGGCGGACACCACAAATGTACTTGTCACAGCCATCACAGATAGCGTGGTGGAAGTTGTTGCGGCCAGGCTTCATCCTAATAGTGATGTTGTCAGGCATCTTGGTGTCCTTGACAGCAGGGACAAAGCCGTGCTTGGGATGGTGACCATGAGCATCCTTTCCGAAGCATGTCTGGCACAGGTCAAAGTCTTCACAGACGGTGCAGTGAAGGAACTCCGCCTCGGGGAATTCTAGGAGGGTTAGCTTCTGGCGGGAATGAGCGCTGAACTTATACATACCTCGAACGCAGCAGTTGCAAGTTCGCATGACGCCGAGGTTGGCCCATCGAGCAGCCAGAGGCTCGAACATGGGGTGAATAGAGGGAACCTCATCCTTGGGCTCAATCTTCGGCTCAACCTTGGGCTCGATCTTAGGCTCGACCTTGGTCTCAATGGTGGTCTCAACCTTGACCTCGGGCTTCGGCTTGGGAGCGATGGTCTCGGTGGTGCTCTGCACGAGCTGGCCGTTGACAGTTGTGCGCTTGATCAGCCAGTGGTCCTTGCCGTGGCAGGTGATTCCCTGGTCGATGCAGGATTGGCAGAGGTCAAAGTCTCCGTCGTCACAGGTGGAGCAATGGTAGTGAACATCAGGGATGGTCTGCTCGCAGCTGTTGCAGCAGACGGCAAAGGTAGCGCCAGTAGCAGGGCAGATGGCGGGAGCCTGAATGTGGCTGGCGGGGGAGTGGCCGGCGGGGAGGACAGTGAAAGGGGCCTCATGCAGGTTGGTCAAGTCGTGGCCGCAAGTTCGGGGGACCCGAATCGGCTGTCGCTGTCGCTCCATAAAGTTGGCAAGTCGGGCCTCGAAGTCCAGGCGGGTGTCACGACGCTCTCCGATGTATCGAGCGGCATCGTTGAGGAGAGTCGCGTTGTAGGTGCGAGAAAGAGGGCTGACGCGAGCGGGAAGATCAGCATCAGGCGGTGTGGTTGTCGCGACCGGAGTCGGCGCGGGAGCCTCAGCCGTGGGAGTAGGAACGGCGCTGATTTCTTCCTCTTGGCTCTCCTGAGCGGTGTCCTTGGGCGTCTCCTCGGTCATCTTGGGGACGATGGGGGATGCGAAAGCCTCGGGCTCGTCTTCGACAGTGACGGGTTTGGGGATAGTCTTGGACAGGTCCTTGATGGAGACTCGGATCTTGAGCTTAGACTTGGCCTTGGCAGCGCGGTAAAGCTGCTTATAAATAGGGATGTTTCCGGGCTCAAGTAGGACGTAGGATCCTGCAGAGTCAGAGTATCGCTCAAAGGTAACCTCGAGATCGGCAGGAATGTGGAGGAAGGTTCGGAGCTGGCTGGGAGTTAGTTTCAAGGCAATTGCTCGTGATGGCGTCGTGAGGTTAATGAGGAAAAGTCATGTATGTGAAGAAGTAGATGGAAAATACAGCGGCTGTGAAGTAAATTGAAAGGCGTGATGAAGATGTCAACATACGTTAGTCTCGAGTGTTCTGGGGACCATGTCCCGAAGAGGCATCTTGGTACGTCGAGTGATGCCCTCGAAGATCACCTTGACGGTGATGACATGGTCAAGAGTAGAATGCGAATGAGTAGCCATGATGGCAATTTGCTCCGGCTGATGCTATCGCGAGAAAGTTAGAATGAATTTCTTCCGCCGCCTCGATCCTTGATGGATGAGGATGTTGAAGGAGAGGATGACGATGCTGACGGGTGGAGCCTTACATTGCTAGTTCGGGGCGGTGACGAGGATGCTGTTATCGGCCGAGATAAGGAATCGGCGGTGACAGGACGGCCGTCGCCCGTCGTATAGATGCTCCCGGGGATTATCTCACGGAGAGGAAGGATGCAGTGTGGAAGGGGAAGGGGGAGAGGTCTGTCGGAGGTATGGGGGGATAGGGTTTTTGAAGGAAAACGGGGTAGCGATGGAAGAAGTAAGAACGAGGGAGGAGAAGGAAGCGGGAGAAGTAAGTTAAAAGAGAGCCCGTCCAGGACTTGAAAGCTTCCGCACGGGCACCTTCCTCGCGTCTAGGTGTTGCCAGCTGCTGCTGCTACCGGCGGCTGCAAGTTACTGCTGCTAGGATCCAGCCTACCTAATGCTAGGCACTGTACCACCTACGAACGGCGGCTTCCACGGGGCCCAGTCCACTCGCTACCCGCCGCCGCCGCTGGCAACTTGACTGGGCCCCCGGGACAGGCTTGTCGCCGTCTCTGCTGTAACTTGGCGAGGTCACAGGTGCGCCAGCTGACGGGGGAGCCTGGTTGCCTTCGGCACTGGGGGAGGGGGTCGGTCGATCGGGGTACTTTTTTGGTGTTAGTGCGGCCATCCCCATCTCGGGCCCAGGTCCAGAGTCACCTATCAGTGACGGGGCCGTCAGCTACAGTACGGAGGAGTCCGCCCTGGCGCCCCGGATGTGAGAAAGCTTGAGGCGACAAACGCAGCACTTGGGGCCAAAGGCAAAAACCTACAAGTCGCAGGACGGAACTGATGATGATGAGGTCGTTCCAGGCCAGGGGTGTGTACTTAGGTACGAGTTCCATCCTCTGTTGCAATTGGTCTCTACGTCGGTGGTCTAGCCGGCCGGCCTCTTTGAATCCCCCTTGCTCAGGCTGCCTTGCCAGAAAGTGCACTTTATTCATTACTGTACAACTTCTTCCACCTTCTTCTCTGAAGTAAGGCAGGCTCTTTTTGGCCACTCGAGTCCTCAAGGCAGCCGAGCATGATTCGCAAACGGTCGCCTCCGAGAAACCAATGTCAAGGCAAAAGCCGAAATGGGCAAACTGTGAGTAACACAGTCAACTTTCTTCTTTCCCTGTGACCTGTGAATCGATGGGCGGTGGAGTTCTACTTGGTTGTTGGTTCGACGTTCCCCACCGAAAGGCGCAGGAGTAACAAAAAAAAAAACATGCACTATCGATACAGCTGAGACTTGGCTTTTCGCATGTATCATGGAGACTACTCTGACAGTAGAACATGGGTTGAAACAAGGTTGATCAGATTCATCTCTAGTTTCTTCTCTTCTCTTCTTCGCCATCGATACCCCTGAAAAGAACCTGACTGACTGACAAACTCCATCATCTGCCTGGTCACTCTAGTCACTGTGCAATTCATCCATCCATCCATTCTGTCACCCCCCTGGTCCCCTTGTTGTCAAATGCTAGGTCGCTCTCTTTAGCCCATCCCCAGGATTGATCAGAAAGAGTGGAGAGCATGAAGCAGGCTGCGAGTGGCGTCCTGGATCACGGAAAAAGAGGGGCAGGGGGGACGGGCTACCAGACGCGCGATAGGGCGAGAGCCTCACGCAGGCCCTGTCTCAACCCCAGACGCTATCTGCGGCCAGGTACCACATGACGGCAAATGCTTCCCTCTGAGCTCTTGATCGGTGGACGACCGGGGGGTGATACTGTGTAGGTACTTACGCAATGCCGCCTCACCGATGCCGCCATCCATGCTCTTCAGGTCACGGACTCGCGGTCACGATGCGTCTTGGGAAGACCCATCCCCCGCTTTCGAAGGGCTCGACACGACACATGGAGAAGGGAAATGTTGCTTTTGTCGAGTTCTCGGTCTTGTCTCGGGACACGGTGTTTCTTTCAGATGAGCATTCTCCCCCCAAGATTCCCAACCTCTATCGCAGTTGCGATCGATTGGCGATTCACCACTCTCAGCTCAGACCAGCGATATGGATGTCGTACAGTACAGTGCATCTTTGAACCCCAGCTCACTATCAATCCGACTGAACCGCACCCCCGGGACGTCCGGGTTTGACCTGGAACGCGCCCAGAAGGAGAGGGAGGCAGCAGCTTGGCCACCTAACTACAGCGCCAGCACCAACGCTTGGTCAGCCTTTGGTTCGTGTTTGCTTGCAATCGCCATCACCATCTTTCTTTCAAGGCTGCAAGGACGCGAGGCAGTGAGTTTGCGTATGTCTTGTCGCCTAAGATGGTTCGCCTCATAAGCGATCAAGACATTGCTTACGGATACTGTCACCGTCTGAGACAGCTTCCGCTCGGCGACGGACAGCCTCCTCCGCCGAATATGTCTTTGTAAAAGAAATCAAACTGCCCCCTCGGGCAAGGGATCCAGAAACCAGGGACATTTCGAGTTCCTAGCATCAACAGCGTCAATGCACCGCCCAGGGAAAAATAAACAAAGATCATCTGGACAAATCTCTAGATAGATCCGGCTACCTACCTTGGACAGACCAGACCATCCCTGACACTGATACGCCGGGTCCACCCACAGAAGCTAGTACCTTGCCTTGCCTACAGTAGGACTTGGTCAATCCTGGCTCTCTCCAGTCTCAGGCTTGTTGTCGCTCGCTCGAGGCGGGGGACGAGATAGTGTAGCGTGCAGTGCAGGACGGAGTACATGCCGTCTGTTAGCGCGCCGCCCTGCTTCCCCCTCCAGCCTGTCACTATCCGTCCTCCACCACCTTGGTCGAGGCGATCCGATGCAAGCTGCTATCCAATCTCTATCGCGTGACGCAGAAGGCAGCTCGACGCGGTTTTGGAATGTGCGTCGTACAGTATCACACACATGCCGCCGCCTCCCCCTCTTCCCAATCACGACAGTCTGACTCGGACCTCGGACAGTTGGTTTGACGAGTCGGAATTGAGAGTGAGGTGAGCTGGAGGCTCGAACGACACACGACACGAGCTCTTGGAGCTTATCCCGTCCTGCCCTGCAGCTGTGCTAAACTCGATGATTCACTTTTGTTGGCTTTTGCTGACTGCGTCTGTTGGAGGCGTCTTGGGACATGCATATGATCAGTCGAACCTCCATGATGGGAAATCCGCAAACAGCTTCCAAGTACCCGGGTACCTATTTCCAACTCTGCTCAATGACCACGAGCTCACAACACTTTTCCTTCCAACCTGGACACGATTCCATGCAAACCTCAATACTTCGTACGTAAAGTATCCTCCCGCCAAGCCTCAGCTCCCCATGCCCGTACATGCATCCCTACCCTAGACATGGACGTTGAAAAAACCTGTGCTGTCACTTGGAAGTAAATTGTCCGTACAGTATCAAAAGTATCGCCCGTGACTTCATTACCGCATCATCCAAACCCAAGTACCCGTCCAATTGCCCTCCCCGTACCCCCTGGTCTTTTGTACACCTTGTTTCCAGAAACGTCAACTCGCGTCTCTTACCCCATGCCAGTCGGTCGTGTATGTATGTGCAGAAGAATCCAACAAACAGCAAACCCGTCCGTGTCACCCCGGAAAAAGAGCCATTCAACTTTGTACATACATGGCCACTCCGGCGCTTGAGGTCGTCTGACTGCTCTGCTTTTTTTATTACTGCAATATCCCCTGTTTCTCTTTCTCCAGATGGAGCAACGGAACCAATCCCCATGCTTGTTCGTCATCCCAGGGGTTCGATGTTTCCCCGCGAACAACTCAAGTCAGACACGGAAACGAAATAAGACGAAATTTCTCTTCTCAGTTGCCGAGTTTGACCTTTCCCCATGGACCCATGTTCCCCATCCATGGCTGACTTATGACCATGGCTAAGCCATCATCTGGTTGGCCAATGCCTGACTCGACAGTCCTCACATGAGTCTCTCGAAACGGGAAGCATAGCCATGCTACCCATGGAGCTATGGATGTCTTTAAGCGAGGTGGAGACGGGGGAATCAACAAATGCTCCCCTCAATTGCACATGCCTGTCACAGCTCCGCTGCTATGACGTGTGAACAGCTCAGATGGACGACCGGACCGAAGAGCCAAGAAAGGCGTCATGATCAAGCTCGGCTTCTTCTGTTCTCTGTCCAGAGTTTTACTCACTGCCTCGGGCCATGATGAGCTCCTCGGACTATTGTCAATTGAAACGTGACTCACACGAGAGAGACCGTAGGCATCCTGATGTGCCCCAAGACTTGATTCACCAACATCAACCACAGACCGTGAATTCAGGTATATAGTGCTCCAGACAGACAGACACCCAAACGCCGTTGCCTTGAAAGCACAGCGCCACGCATGAATTTACACCAAAACACACATAATAGGGGGAAGAATAGATGGATTGCTAAGGCAAGGAGCAGAAATCCCTAGCAAACCACCTCCCCCTCCAACCTCCAAACTTCTTCCTATCCGTCCCGACTTCACCGGCCATGGAAAAAAACTCCATCTCCTGTCAATGATAAGAATACCAGCCATGATACCCCTACTCGATCAACTCCCATCCGTCAATCCATTCCAGGTAAAGATGCCGAGTCCGTAGAGTTATGGTAGTCATCACGCAGCCATCTTCTCTTTGGCTGGGAGCCTTTCAGGCACAAAATAAGAATAAGTCGTCCAAGAGACCTGTGATTGCAATACGAATCATCAGGGGATCTCCAACCGTCTCGAGATGAAACCTCAAGCCCCCCGAGGTGTATCACAGACGCCCATCATCTCCACTGCCTCCTCCTGCTGCCCCGCGGGGCTTTTTGGGAATAAACGTCGCAAGTGCTTTTGTGTTTTTTAGGTATAAGGTCGTAGTTGTAGCTATTAAATCGAGTACGCGTAGAA